TGAGCCTGTGTTTCTTATAGCCTTCCATCTTCATATTTCTCTGTTACTTCATATCTATCTATCTATCTATCTATCTATCTATCTATCTATCTCAGTCTGTTCATATCTATCTATCTATCTCAGTCTGTTCATATCTATCTATCTATCTATCTATCTATCTATCTATCTATCTATCTATTGCAGACTGTTCATATCTATCTATCTATCTATCTATCTATCTATCTATATATATATATATATATATATATCTCAGTCTGTTCATATCTATCTATATATCGTTCTATCTATCTATCTATCTATCTATCTGGTTTATATCTGAGTGTGTGTTTCTTATAGCCTTCCATCTTCATATTTCTCTGTTACTTCATATCTATCTATCTATCTATCTATCTATCTATCTATCTATCTATCTATCTATCTATCTCAGCCTGTTCACATCTATCTATCTATCTATCTATCTATCTATCTATCTATCTATTTCTGCTGATATATATCTAATTATATTTTTTCTGAATAAATGGGGCCTTAACTATAATATTATATTATTATAAGTGTATTTCTCTTAGTGATTTCTGTCTTGATGGTCTTATGTTGTATTCAAGTTATTCTTCAATTTTTACGTCAGCCCAGCAAATTTCAGAATCCTCTTCACTCTCATCATTAGTCCTACGACGGCTTCAATCTTCGGGGGTCGGGTAAGAAATAAGAGACAACCTTCTCCAAGATGATCTCCTGGCGGTGTCTCTCAGGAGTTCACAAACTGACATGTCCATTCACACTTTGATGTTGCCTAACAAGCTTTTGCGTTGCCGACCCGACTTGCATGCCACTTCAACAATGTCTTGGTCTAACAGAGGTTGTTCTGCCGTGTGACTGAACACAACAGTCCACAGCGACGTTTAATAGTGGTTAGGAGAGATTTGACATTGCTCCGTACATACTTATTGGTTTGGTGCTCCCAGTAGAAGACACGGAGGAGATTTCTCAAGTATTTGTTCTCGAAAGCTTGGATCTTTTTCTCCTGGCTCAACTAAGAGTTTCCAAGTCTCACAATGATACGACCAGCAATTTGAAGAACTCGAATTTAGTCTGGAAGTTGATTTTGCTCTTCCATATAATTTCCAGTCTGGCCATCGCTGCTTTGAATGTGGCGATCCGTGTGCTTTGTAGTGCGTCTGTTTTATGCGTGCGTGTTTATTTATGTTTGTGTGTCTATATATTGGTGCGTCTTTTCATCCAAGTGCGAAAATAAATGTCTTTTTTCTTTATATTTCAAATGAAAGTGAGTGTGTGTCCGGGAGCTTAGAACATTAGCACCCCAGGATCGAATCTCATCATGGTTGGTTTCTCAAACAGATTTCTTGATAATATTGTAGTGGGGAGACGGCTGGAGCTGGCGGATACATTGGGAAGTGGTCAAAAACCAAGTCACGTGTTGATCCAAGCCTAATGAGTGAAATTAAATCAATGATTGTGCCAGCACAAAATCATTAATTTTCGTGACCGATGGCCTTGTTCAATCTGTTAGTTTCGCCAAATTATGCAGTTTCTTTGAGAAACTGAAACCAAAGTCGGCTCAGCATCGTTCAGTCTAAACCACATGTGCCAGAGCAGTCGTTTGCAATAGGGAGAAAATAGCAATCCTAGCAGAAAGACGTACTAGGAAAGGTCAACCATAACATTTCAAAGAGAACAAGGATAAGATGTTGGCATAAAACTAAAAAGTGGTTCTGTTAAAAAAAATTATTTTCAAAGTCAGAAATTATTTGAAAATAAAGAAAAAAAGGCGAAAAAAAAATTACAGATAGCAGATAAGAATTACGTGACTTGGTGTGACTTTTTAGACTTAACAAACGTTCAACATAAGATTGACCGGCTAAAAGCAACATTCACAACAAGAATGATAAAGAAACGGGTTGAGATTTGAAAGAATTCTCTTCTTTTTTTTGTTATCAAAGATACTCACGTGCGAAAGACGAACACGCTGCATTTAAAAACAAAGACTTTGATAACAGGTCATTGATAGTAAATCGAGGAATTCGTCAAAAAGACAGACACAAAACAAAACGAAGCAAAACTCGTTAAAAGAAAACTAAAAAAAAAAACAAAACAAAATCAAATAAGCAAATTGTCTTGAATTCTTACCTGGAGTGAATATCAGGGAGATTTTTTTTATATGCAGATACTCTCTCTCACTCTCTCTCTCTCTCTCTCTCTCTCTCTCTCTCTCTCTCACACTGTCTCATTTTCGCTTACTCTCTTGTTTAAATAACTGCAAAGGAAAAGAATAGAAAAGGAAAATCAAAGTATACTGGGCCAATAATTATAACTTGTCACTTGTCTGTATTTATACGGCAACCATTCGCTGTCGACTCTCAATCGCAAATGAAGTCAGCCACACAAAGAATTACAAGAATGAGAAGGCGAATGTGGGGGTTCCACATATATTTCTTGAATTACTTTTTGTACGTTTCACTTTGATAGTTTGACAGCTAATATTTTCACACAGATAGACACACATGGATACTACCAACGCTCTTGCTGTACATATATATATATATATATATATATATATATATATATATATATATATTGATGCACCATGCTGTATGAAACTATCTGAAGTAAATATTGCGTAGCAGCTTTTTGTGGATATGTGTTCGTCTAAACGTGAGTTTGGTCCTTCACACAATCGATCATTTTAAAATAAAATGTATTGATAAGTAAGTGATATATGTATTGTAAGTTATTCAAAAACTGCAAACTAGGTCAGTTGAACAAATTTTCCACAAATCTTTGTGCACACACACACACACACACACACATATATATATATATATATATATATATATATATATATAATAATATTAATAATCTTATAAATATAAGTATGCATACGAGTCCGAAAAAACCTTTGGTATTTTGGCTTGTAAATGAACAAACGAATACCCAAGGAAAAATAAGGAATAAAAAAAGAAAGAACAAAGAACATGTAATTCAGGTGAAAATAATCGACCAGAATCCAAGCTCAGATTCAAAAAAAAACCTCCGACACGAGTAAAGTAAAAATAACTAAGCAAAGTGATCAATACGCTAAGTTGAGCAAATCTAACTGATGAACCTAAAAGAGCCAGGCAAACCTACCTAGGTTTCACCTACGCGAATCTTCAGTCCAGCGTACCCTGGCGATCCACTTTAGGTGAAACCTAGGTAGGTTTGCCTGGCTCTTTTAGGTTCGAGTTTTTATATATATATATATATATATATATATATATATATATATATATATATGATAGTATAAAGAACAGGTAGGAAAAAGACCTTAATCTAACATGTTTCACTTTATTAAAGATTCATCAGATATTACAATAGAAATGATAAAATTGACAAAAAAGGAAAGAGACGAATATTAATGTTATGTTGTGATTGCCCATTTCTTATTGGGTAGATACATGTCACGTGGAATGAAATAACAGTTATATTCAAATATGTGTGGCAAACATTCCCTCCGCTAAAGTATGTAGTGAGATGCAGTATGATATTTTGTTTTGATATGCCTCACGTGTAATGAAGCAACAGATAGTACTCAAATAAGTGTAAGAAAACATTCTGGATGCTAAATTATATAAAAAGTTAGTGTGACGCTGCAGGATGATGTGAAAACTATTTTGGTTAGATTTTCCATTAAAAGATATCTCGTGAATACTTTGTGTATATATTGATTTTTACGTATAAGTAAAATAAGTTAGATTCATGAATAATGAATCTGTAGAAAAATATTGATATAATGTAGTATTTTAAAGGCGTTTTAATAGTTGGTAATATTGCTATAAATATATTTTCATAATATTTTCTCTTTATAGGGTCATATCCTTTTTTGATAAGGCTGGTTTGGTGAAATTAAAGTTATGTCCTACGTTGTTGCAGTGTAATACGAGAGAATGTGAATGTTTATCTAAAAGCAAATCTCTTTTGTGTTCCTGGATGCGGGTCTTTAGATCACGTGAAGTTTCCCCAATATACATCTTATAGCATTGTAGACATTGGATTTGATAAACTCCCGCATTTGAATTGTTTTTTATTGTATTTTTCTTCATGACTATACCTCCGATCGTTTTGGAGGCGTTTGTAACAATTCTTGTATTAGGGATGAGCAAGTTGAGTTGAAGTGTTGAAGAGTGGGATTATGAATTTTGCATAATTTTTGGGGGAAGTATGTGTTTGATTGTTTTTTTGTTTATAGATTTTGTGAACTGGTCTTTTGCATTTAAGTTGAAATGGTATGGGTAGTGTAGAAGTTTTTGTGTTCTCAATATAATCCTCTTTTTCACTAAAGTATTCAGTATTCAAAGTGATTTCTAAGGTAAAATCCTATAATTATTCCAGATTTTATTATGTTTTCTGGGTGTCAGTTATCAGGTATCTCCTGTTAATTACCCTCTCCAAGTTCTCCACTGCCTTAACCGAGTATTGAACGCATACTCTTTGTGTCCTGTCACTGGATCTAAGCAACACCTTTATCCATTGCGCCATGTGTCCTTGAGGACACATGGCACACTAGATAAAGGCAGTGGGAAACTCGGATAAGAGAATTAACAAAAGATAACTGACATCCATTAAATATGGCACGTGGAATTAGAACAGTCTACCCCAGTGAGCGAAAGTATTCAGTTCGACATTCCAACCACATGAAGAAGGCCGGTGCGTACAACGGCCGAAACGTCGTGATAAATATGGCGACCCAGATGAGGACAATAGTCCGAATAATGTAATTAGTGTATTAATTTACATATCTTTATGATTTGTGGATGGGTAGAGGAAGCTTATTCTTGGATGTAATAGGGTGATTTCTTTGTATATCGAGGCAATTGGTGATGGGTATATTGCTGTATAGTGATTTGATGTCTTAACTGACCATATATATGTTAGTCATATTAATGAGTTGTATTCTTACGAGTAAGTAACCCGAATGTTTTTTTATTGATGGTGCCAAGTAATGAAGTTAGGATTTTAGGTATGACTCCAGGTAAATTAGGAAGTGTAATGTTAATTCCGGATACACTGGCCATAATGAGAATGTCGGGTTTGTGTATCTTGGGTAAGTCATACAGTGCTGGTATTTTGCGGTGTTACTCTATCAATCTAGACCAAGAGTTGTTTTCATTTTTTTATACTTTCTTGATAGTTTAGTTGAACCTATGCGTTTCAATGTTTATAGTAAATTCATTGGTTTTAGTGCAGGCGTTGTCATTATTTAGGATAGATTCTGATTTTTCAATGTAGATGTTGGTGTCCATAATAAATATACAGCCTCCCTTGTCAGACGGTGTCATAATAAATTTTGGTTCATGGACAAGTTTTTAGCGCTTGTATGTATCTCCTGGCTAGTGTTGTGACGATTTGTATTTATGATGGAGGCTGTTAATATGTCATGCATTAAAATTCTTCATAGTCAGTGTGATTGAATAGCTGTTAAGGCAGTGATTG